GCCCCCCCCCCCGGGTGTCCAGCCCTCTCCGGGCGCCCCTTGGCTTCCCACGCGCGGGTGGGGCTCTCCAAGCGCGCGCTGCCCAGCGGAGCGCAGCCGAGAAGTGTTCCTCTTGGGACGTTTTCCTGCCCCCCAAAAAAGTGTTGATTGATCCCCCCTCCCCCAGCCACGCAAAACAAGGCCCGACCGAAGCTTGCGAGAGGGGAAGTTTTAGCACCACGGATGCTCCACGCGGGACAGGCTGGCTGCTGCGTGGGGGGCTTTGGCGTGAAAGGAGCGGGCGTCGGGACCCTTCCCCCCCCCGCCGCTGGGAGACGCCCCCCCCCCCCCCCCCGCCGCTGGAAGATGCCCCGCGGGTGCGCAGGCAATTCAGCCCCCTCCAGCCGCTTGCTCGTCTTCATTCTCCCTACTCCCTCTTTTTTCAAGGGATAAGGACCGAGCAGGATTTCTACGTGCGCCTCATCGACTCCATGACCAAGCAAGTAAGTCCCCGTGCAGGGCGTGGGCTGGGCTGGCGGATCCCAGCCCGCTGGGGCGGGGGTGGGGTGCTCAGTGCCTTTGCTGTTTCTCAAGTTCCCTTTTCGTTCGTTTACACGGGCGCGGTCCGCAGCGGCCACCGGGGCCCCCTGCAGCCCAGTGAGTGGCAGGGGTTTTGGTCGGGCTGGCGAGTTACGGAGCTGGAGGAGCGTTCGCTCCGTCAGCCCTTTTCTCCGGATGGGGAGGCTGGTCCCGGCCCGTTCTTCCCAGTTCCCTTCTCGGATCCCCTTCCGCCAGCAGCCGCTGGGATTCATCCAGAGCTAAGGTCCCTGGATCACGCTGCACCCTCCCGGAGACAGGGACAATAACGCACCATGCGCTCCGATGGCGAGTTACGGAGCTGGAGGAGCGTTCGCTCCGTCAGCCCTTTTCTCCGGATGGGGAGGCTGGTCCCGGCCCGTTCTTCCCAGTTCCCTTCTCGGATCCCCTTCCGCCAGCAGCCGCTGGGATTCATCCAGAGCTAAGGTCCCTGGATCACGCTGCACCCTCCCGGAGACAGGGACAATAACGCACCATGCGCTCCGAGCTATCCACACCCGGCGCGGAGCGCAGCGGGCGCAGAGCCCGTGTAAACGGCATCTCTGGCCGGAGGGGAAATCTAACTCCCCAAAGCGCCTCAGCCCCTAGGGTTTGGACTGGCCGGGAGCCACGGGGGGGAAGGACTAAAACCAGCCTCCGTGCACACCCGGCTGGGATCCGAGCTCGAAAGATGCATTTGCGACCAGAGACAGGGGGTGTTTGTATTTTACAAAAAATCGGCCGCTTTAATTAGGCGCAGCAGTTTGACAAAATAGACACCCCGCGCTCCATCCTCTACAGGCTTTTTACAGCCCGGGAGTTTGTTTTCCTTTTTTGCTCTAATGACGAGAATGCAAAGAAATAAGCAACCAGACCCTAAGCTCAAAACGCCAGCCGGGCACCGTAGCAAATTTTCAGCCTTTGTTTATTTGCAATTACTTGGTTAGTTGTTTTAAAGGAAGAGTGATTAAACCACGAGTGGTTTTAATTGTGTAAATAGCCATTGAAAAGAGGCACGCAGGAGACGTAATGATTTGATACGTTTTACGGGCAAAGATAACTGTTTTTAGTTGTAGGAGAGCCAGCTGTGGGGGAAAAAACCGGATTGAAACTAATTTTAAACATGGCATTTAGTTTCGAGCTCGGGAAGAAAGTGTGTGTATACACCCATAACACCACAATGTTATTTGTGTGCAAATATAAACCCAATATTTACGTGTACTGATTTTTTGGAAAAAAATTGGTTATTGTTTTTTCAAAACAATTCGCATTCCTAAGTCAAGTATTCTATCCTGCTAATTTGAAAGAGCATTTGTTACAATATATTTCCATTTCAATATATTCAAACGTCCCCTCCTCCCTGGAATTTGCATCTTTTTAATCAGTTAGTGGACTTTTTCCAATTCTATAGGAAAAAAAAGTCTCTGTATTATTTACAAAAGCAAATTAAAATATTAAATGTCTTGCATAGAAGGAAAAAAAAAATGCCAGTTCCGGCATGTTCAAATTGCTGTCATATGCTGAGACAGTCTTCTCGTGGCTTGTAGTATGGTTCTTTTTTGACACCAAAATGTAAAGTTGCATGTGCTGAGTTTGTTTTAGAAAACTGTTTTTGATGCTCTCAAAACATCTTTTCCTGCCATTGGAGACTGTCTTTTTTTTTGTTTTGTTTTTTGTTTTAAAGAGGAAACTTGGAGTAATTATAATATAGAATTCAACCATGCATCTGATCTGTGTTAAATATACACTTCCAAACCAGAGACTGTATGGATTAAAACAGCACCGGCATGCCCTTTAACAATACATCTTGGAAAGTATTTCCTGTGTCACTCATATTTTTCAGGCTTAGATTGGTTAGAACAAAATCCTTTCTGATACATTAGCTGTTTTTTTAGTTGTTTTGAGTCCCATGTGTTGCACTATAGACCATACAAAAAGCATGATCAATGAATATTATCTTTAAACACTGTTCAGATCATTACAGAAATGCAAAGCTATTTCCCCCTTCCCCCCCCCCCCATGGAACTCAGCTGAAAACAGATCTTTTAATTTATGTAGAACAGCAGAGTCAAAATATTATTTTCTTAACAAAGGCATCTTGCCTATGAAGAGTCCATCCTAAGGCACAGTTTGACCTCTTGCTCTCTCATTATTATCAAGTCATCACAGGGTCTTTTGGGGAGAGAGAGAGAGAGAGAAAAGACAGTTTATTTGTAAAACATATCATGCAGATATAAACCACATTTACAATTAAGGGAAATTGTCTGCTTTTAATTAGTCTTAATATATAAAGCTATTGCAAAATCTCTATTTTATTTTATTTGGGAAGGCACAGGAGGGGTAATACAGTCAGTGTTTAAAATCTGAATTCAGACTAAGGATACAGTGAAATAAAGGGTTTTTAT